CGCTGAAACGCGGCAGCTGTGTCGGGGTCCATTGTGGGCAGAACGGGGAGTTTTTATGAACAGAAATAATTTTTTTGATGTATTAAGTGAAATTAAATCAATTTAAAGTACTTTAGTCCAAAAGGTTTAGCTGTGTGGCCCCCGTATTCGGCGCTCCCAAGCTGCAAACGGTGCTCGGAAACCACTCGAAATTCAGAAACCCCGGCGTGGGCGATCCTGGGTTCCAGGAGCACCCTAAGTGGACTACTATCGGCGAAATGCTTAAAATATAAAGAGTTAAAGAAGAAAACACAGCAAAAGATGATGCCATGCACAGCTTAGGTTGATTGCACTGCATGCAGGTAGTCCGTCGTCGCTGCTGGCTGGGCAGGTGAACAGTGAACCGCTCGGCGACCCCCAAGCAGGAAGAAAGTAGAAAACTTCTATTTCAGAACAAACCAACGTGAAAGCGCATGCAAGTAGCTTGTACCACTGCTGCTTCAAACGATGCTTTGCAGCTCAGCTGAGCTTGTGCTCTTCTGTACGAGTTCTCTGCGTGTGCCGCGTCGTAGAGCCAATGGGGGTTTAGGAACTGCAGAAGAGACGAAGTGTAACAGAGGCAGCGCTTAACTTGATAGCGGCTTAACACACTCGAAGCACAAGTAGGGGCGGCGCAGCACAGCTAAAACATTACACACCGATGCATACACCGGAAAAAGTGAGCCTCCAACAGCAGTTAGCCCCGAAAGACGTAGGCGACGGAGGTGCTCGCTNCATACACCGGAAAAAGTGAGCCTCCAACAGCAGTTAGCCCCGAAAGACGTAGGCGACGGAGGTGCTCGCTGTAATTTGCAGTTCTGGCGTTTACTTTGGTTTGCGCACTCCTCTGTGGGGCGGTGAAGCCTTTATGTACTACGGTTTGGTGTTAGGCGTGCAAGGTTAGTACCGAGCTGTTGACTGTCGTATACAGTGTTCGCAGTTAGTATGCACACGCCTCTGAGAGGTTGAAACAGTTAGGGTTTAGGGTTTAGCGTTAGAATCTATATGCAGACTACACTTCGCAGTTTCGGCGTTGTTTCCGTGCACTCTGCTATGGTGGTATAAGCCTTTAGTAGAAGACGGTCTTAACAACAAATTGGGGGGATATGAGCGTGTTCCCTGTTTTAGCCGAATGCAGTTGAGAGGTGCTTGCTTAATCTTTCACTATAGAGTTAACTGAAAGTCTGAGATATCGGCGCTAAACTGATAACGCAGAAAGCCGATAGACTGAAGTGCCCCTGCAAGCGCTTGTAAACAATTGCAGAAATTCGCAACGAAAAATAGTTATGCAAATTTCACCGGCTTTGCGTGAGCTGTTGCCCCGCTTGAAAATGAAGAAGCCGTTTCAAACTTGGGTATAACCACCGAAATAAATCGGCGTTTCATCGCCAGGTTTGTTCGCTGGCGAGTGCGTAAGCAGCTGCATGTATTTCATTTAATGTTCAAAATCAGAAAACTCAAAAAAGGAACCATCTTGTTTCATCATAGGCAGCTCGAGAGGTCTGAAATAGTGCGATTCTGCTGCTGCTTGCTGGCAGCAGCCGCTCGCAGCAGCAGCAACAACAAGAGCCTCAGCAGACGGGAGCGAGAGAATGTCTTCTCCGAAAGAGCGAGCAAAAGCAGGGCAATCTTCTTCGTCTTGCAGCCGCAGTGAAGCAAGGCTCTGTGGGGACTTCTCTGACTGTTGTTCGTCTGCCTCTTTTTCCTCCTCTGGTTCGGGGCCCATCGCAGAGAGCTCGCGAGCCATTTCCTCTACAGTTGTTTCTTTGAA